TTTATATAGTAATATTTTTAACAACATTATATCTTAAAATGTAAATTTATGATAAATAATTAATTTTAATTAATATTTTATATATTTTTATAATTTAAAAAATAAAAAATCCAAAATTATAACGCATTTCAACTCAACACAACAACCCCTCCCAAGCAAGACTAAAGTTATATATTTTTTGAAAATTTTCAAATACTTTTTAAGTAAAAAATTAATTCAACTAAAGTCAATTAACTGAACACATGGTGCAGTACTATGAGTTTTAATCCCTATAAATTGGGATCACTGGGCAGTACCATTGCACCTGCATCCCTACGGAAAATGGAGATGATTGAGGTTTGGAACTTGAAATAGAGGAGAGAAACCGATTCCATGGATGAGTACTGTTTATTCCATTGAGTGTCACAGTACACCCACATATGTTGGAGAGAATCAAAGATATTTTTCCAGCTAAAAAAAAAAAGTTAAAACACAGCTCTCATCAATCATGTTCCTCCTTAATTTCTATTAGCTCTAATCTATTTAACTTGTCACCATATGATTTTTGGGTTTTATTTTCCTACATTATATATTTTTATTGTCTTAAAATAATGATTTTTTTTCTTTTATTTAAAGTAAAGAATTGATAATAATAAAGTGTATACTTACATTATCATTAAAAAAAATAAAAAATAAATAATGACTTTATCTTAACAAAATTTAAAAAAAAAAACGACAAGGAATATTTTAGTAAGATTTTTATTACTTAAGAAGTCCTTTGATTGATGTTAGTATTCATATAAAAATGTGAGATCAAGTGAAGAAAAAAATAGATGGCGTGAGGTAACGTCCATTGATGATTAGAGTTTATTTATAACTTTTAAAAAGTTATTTGAGAGTTAATTTACATCATTTGAGAATTGTGAGGTTTGAAGTTTATTGTTTCTAATTCAGGAGCTCATGTATTAATTTAAAAGAAGTCTAGGGCTTACAAAAAAAAAAAAAAAAGGAGAGGGGGTTTTGCCTGTTGAAAAGTCTTCTTTAAATAAGGACAAATATGGCTTACGTGGTTAAAGAAATCTAGAGAACGGAAATTTTTTTTTTTTAGTTGCCCGCCCGGTATCCGGGGCTTCGCCTCGACTAATCCGGACTCGACTCGTGTCGCGCACCTGGAAATGGTGGGTGAGTCTCCCAGCGAGGACTGCTGCATACACAAGAACTCAAACTCGAGATCTTGCTTAAGTTGAAACAAGGCGCTTACCACTTGATCCAACCCCTCGTTGGTTAGAGGACGGAAATTTGGGGTAAGGTTATGACCACCTATGAAAAAGTGATAGTGATGCAAACTTTAAAATATTAAAGTTTTAAAATTATTGATTTTATTTAATTTAGTTGTTAAAAATAATTAATAATTATAATTTTTA